GTCTATGCGGCTCAGCGTGGCCCTGTCTATGCGGCTCAGCGTGGCCCTGTCTATGCGGCTCTGCGTGGCCCTGTCTATGCGGCTCAGCGTGGCCCTGTCTATGCGGCTCAGCGTGGCCCTGTCTATGCGGCTCTGCGTGGCCCTGTCTATGCGGCTCAGCGTGGCCCTGTCTATGCGGCTCAGCGTGGCCCTGTCTATGCGGCTCAGCGTGGCCCTGTCTATGCGGCTCAGCGTGGCCCTGTCTATGCGGCTCAGCGTGGCCCTGTCTATGCGGCTCAGCGTGGCCCTGTCTATGTGGCTCAGCGTGGCCCTGTCTATGTGGCTCAGCGTGGCCTTGTTTATGTGGCTCAGCGTGGCCTTGTTCATGTGGCTCAGTGTGGCCCTGTCTATGTGGCTCAGCATGGCCTTGTTTATGTGGCTCAGCGTGGCCCTGTCTATGTGGCTCAGCATGGCCTTGTTTATGTGGGTCAGCGTGGCCCTTTCTATGTGGCTCAGTGTGGCCTCGTTTTATGTGGCTCAGCGCGGCCTCGTATATATTAAATAAATAAGTGATAAATTAATTTTAAGCGTGAGTAAATGCGTAAATGTCTCATGAAATTTAGCAGCAGAAAAGTATCTTCATATTAAGTTAAGCATGCTCGACATTTTTCAATCGTAGAGTTCCGTTCCCACTGCAATATCGATGGAACTCTTCTATCCATGGAAATTGATATACCCATGTTGACTACCTGTTTGCTAACTCTTTTTCTTCTTCTATTTTAGGAACCACATAACATGCTTCTGGTGGGTATACTTTTCTTTCATGTTCTTTGGGGGTGGGCTTCGTCCAGTGGAACTATTCTTCCACTCATTTTTGGGGGTCGGCTGCGCCCCTGCCTTCATCTTCAGGCAGGATATGCAGAATCCATACCCTCGGATCGCGAGTTACGGACGGGGCCTACGCCAAAGAACTTTATTGCATATATGGCTTGCTGGGCTGTTAATAAAATGTTTATCGTACAGTATCTTATCTCCCGAGTCTTTCTGGTAGAAATGAAAGCGTAGCGGAAGTTCTGCCAGGAAGACTCAATTGTCACGTCATTATTACCTTCTCATCTATCCAATCGCGTTCTAATACGTGAAGTATAAAAGACCCTTACTTGCACTTGTCTGAGTTTGCAGATGCTGACGCTTCACTTACCACCATCCTCCCCACCTCCACCAAGACGGTCTTCGCTCCATCCTTCCCACCACCACCACCAGGTCGGTCCCTTCCAAAACTCCAAGTGGGGGTCGGCTGCGCCCCTGCCTTCATCTTCAGGCAGGATATGCAGAATCCATACCCTCGGATCGCGAGTTACGGACGGGGCCTACGCCAAAGAACTTTATTGCATATATGGCTTGCTGGGCTGTTAATAAAATGTTTATCGTACAGTATCTTATCTCCCGAGTCTTTCTGGTAGAAATAATGATATGTATTATATGATATATATACATATATATATATATATATATGGCCTTGCCCCACAGCAAATTTCCAGATACTTACATAATTGTGATGAATTTAATCATTTTTAAATTATTATTTTGCAGTGTAAGATTACAGTTAACACCTTTAAATACTACATAAATGTATTTTGACTTTTTAATAAACTTAATGAGTGTATACATCAGTAGCAAAAAGTAATTCTTGAAAAAATCTGCACAGTAATTTTATAAAATCTAAATATGTTAATAAAAACAAATGACTATTAGTTCTCTTTTAAAATTCAATGTCACAATTTTATACATGTCACAATTTTATATACATATATATTAATGTCAAGAATTCAGAAGTGCATAGCCTACACTACAAATAAATAATATACAATTAAATTATGCTTATTTAAAATGTATTGAGCAGGCTAGGTATAACAAAATATATTGCCTTTTAATAATATTTCAGTGCGCAAACCCATGATAACATGAAAAACAGAGAGCACACAGCGTGTATGCGCATCGCGGGTGCAGAATGATGTGCTCAAAGCAACATGGAGTCACAGAGTGCAGCAGCACTGCGCTTCATAAGTGCGCATTTAAAAGCTCATGTCACAAATCAAAGAAATGTTGAGCGCACAAATCCTAGTGCGATTTGTTCCTTTGTTTCACAGTTATTGTGCGTTTGATGCCGATTCATAGTCCTTGTGATATGTGTGATCTAACAGTAACAAGCACACGGTAGTGAGTCGTTTAAAAACAGCTACAAACTCCAAGAAAATAAAGTAATTTTATGCGAATATACTGTACAGCCTTTTATCTACAGATCATGCATTTATAACGTGAATATATCATATTGGAGAGAGTTTTACCGTGCATCCAAGAGGCGCGCGTGCTGATTGAATATGAATGGAGAATGATTGACAGCCGCAGAGGATGGAAAACGGGTTTCCGTATACTTTAATGATGTAAATATACTTCTGTCCCTCACATTAAGCTATGGAATGACTTCAGATGACTTTGTCACCCAAACTGACGTGAAAAAAGCGGGAGGCGCCGAAAAGCGCGCTGTTTGCATCCCTGCCTGTCCAAACGTGGCAAAAACACATCAAAAAGCTGCTGTAACAGTATACCATTTGGCACTTAAAAAGCACGTCACGACACATAATTCCCCGTCTTCTTTTACTTAAGAATATTTTTGACTTATTTATAAAATGCATAACTGATGCTACAAAAATTAATACTAGCCATTGGGGTGGCCAATGGGGTGGCCAGGAGTCGGCCAGGGGTGGCCATGGCCACCCCTGGCCACCCCCTGGTGGCGCCATTGCCTATAGTATGATAACAGAAAACCATAATACATACAGTAAATAAACCATGTCATGAATGAGGTAGTTCAAACAAAAAGACCAACATTATAAACAAAACAAAATTCGTTTCTTCAACCCCAAATAAACCAAACGAACTTTCTATGTTTTTTTTTTTTTTCAAAAAATGACCCGGTCAATCAAACTGTCATTGGTCAGTTGCTGCCCCCCAGGGGGCCCTTCCTGAACGCAGCGACCCCATGACTTGACTGGTCACCATAAATTAAAATTTCCAAATACATCACCCTACTCATACATGAAATTATGTAGTTCAAAAGAAAATGAAAACATTGTTAACAAAACAAAATTGCTTTTCATTTCGAAAGAAACAAACTAAATCCAGACCCCTTTAGAAAACAATTTGTAAACTCAACAAATTGGCGAACTCAACATGGTCAGTCAGTGACAATAATCGGGGTTTTTTTTTTCTTCTACCCGTCACTGTTCTATTGATCATTATATTTCCAAAATTAATGAAACAAAAATCAACATGAAAACAATTTGTGACAAAAAACAAAACAAACAAAATAAAAGAATAACAACCAGCAAGTGCTCCTTTTTTTTTTTTTCCCCGGCACTGTCACAGTTATTCAGGTTTGTTTTTTTCTGTTTTTTTTTTTTCATCCACAAATAATGCAATCAGTTCGACAATTGTCAATCAACTTCCACATATAGCTATAATCATTAATGCCAACCAGAATGGCTAACATGAATAGCTTCGGCTCGTTCACTTGTCTTGAACTGCCAGCAATAAGTAAAACCAAAAAATAAAGAACAGCCAATTTTTTCACTAAAGGCTTCAAAACGGTATTTCTTCTATAGCTTAAAATAATCAAAAATACGTATGTGATGAGCGCTAGCCCCACACCCACGTATTTGACCCAAATTAATTCAACGTAGCATTTTGTGAAATTGTACCCAGTTATAGCTACGGAAAAAACCATAACTGCAACAATTCCCTTTTTTCCAAACAATTTAACATATCTCGCACTTCTCAGCAGCTGAGACACTAGAATTAGCACTAATGAAATATCGTCCAAAAAGTTATAAAGGCCAAGGCTCAAAAACATCAATACTACTTGCTCCGGCATTCTTTGACTTAATATTCCAGATATCCAATATACAATCAACCATAAATTGATGGAAACTATACTCACAATTTCTTTTGGTCTGTCAATGCAATGCCTTGTAGTATTGCTGTAATTACCTGCCATTTAGTCTACTGCTGCTGTTGCGAATAGAAGAAAGTTAGAGAGAGTGATGATAGCCTCCTTGTCCGCCACCAACTGAGTGATCCGTAACCTTGTCCGCTCGTTTTGACACTCCGTCCCCTATTTGGTCATAAGAGGAACTAGAGCCTCTGTGTCCTCTGTCGAGTCAGGCAATTTCGACAGTTTCCTGCAGACCAGCCCCATTTCGAAAGTTTAACGAACAAGACCACCATGACTATTATTCCTATAACAATAGCCAGGCAGATTATGACAATCTTTACGTGAAACCAAGAATGCACTATTAGGTCCCATACGGAGACAGCGAGTTCTTTAATGTTATCCACCACCCATAGAATAGCCTTTTTCTGCACTTTCCAATATACGGTAAAAATATCGCCCCTATTTGGCTTAATCGATTGAGATTCGAAGTCCAAAAAAAACAGATACCCAGGCCCCATGGACAGGCATTCCAAAAAATCGTCTACCGGGTCATAAAAACTACGTGACTCCTCGGCGCTATTCAACAGAGCGGAAAAAGCGCATTTTTTCATTATCTGATTACGCGCAATCATCATAAAGGGAGCTGCACCGGTTATCGAGCTTATATCAACCGCCCACTTACACTACCAACCCGATCTGCGCCAATCACTTTGAAATTCTTGAAAGTACAAAAAACATGTTCATTCTCCATGCATCCACGTAATGTTAGGACTAAACCTATTTCCTGGGGTTTTAATTTTCCATGAATTAAACATTTCCGTGTCGCAATATTGCTCTTTCGCCGGTATCCACAAATTCTTAACCTCATCCAATGCCTGTACACAAATTTTCCCAAAACCCATGTTCCAGACATTTGACCGTCTTTTCACCTCATCACGGTCATGGTCCTCAGGCCTCAGACTATGTCTCGAGAATGAACCACTGTCTTTGATATCAAATTTGGGTGAGGCCATCAGAATTTTATAAGTCAGTATTTGTTGCACCTCGTCTTTTCCGATGGTTTCAACATCGGCAAATAATATTTACTACTCCAAAAACCATGCGCTAAAGTT